TTGGTAGCCTTGAAAACGGATGGACTATAGATAATCGATCATGCTGAGTCTCGTGGCAATATTTATTTTTAGAAAAAGTTCAAAAAGTCTACCGAAAAGCGAGTTTTACGAAAATTTGGGTTTTCAGCTATTACAAAAGTCACAATTCACTCAATAAGCATCAGAACGGGTTCAAGACTTCAGGATATGGTCGATTTTCTCCGCTAAATGGGATTATAATATCGAAAAAATCGAAAAAGCATATTTGCGGTAATGGGTTTTCTAGAAATGCTTTTGGAAAACCTTAGGGTTTTGTAGACTTTCTTTTAAGATCTCCTGTAAATAGGATATAGAATAGCTTAAATACTTTATATTCTGAAGTCCTGAACAAAAAGTGGTGCTGTTCAAGTATTATGTATACGGCATGTAGAAGTAGGGTATACTAAAGTAGTCCAAGCGGAAGTAGTTCTCAAGTAAATGATTTTGTCCTAACCCACCAGAATTTGTGTACTTTCGCCACATGTTAAAAAACGGTAAAATACAGCGTTGTTGTGCACGTGAACTTTCGCTACACTTTGTAACGCGTTATTTGTCGCTACGTTATTAGTGTGAGGAAAGTTCTTTTTGGGCTCTGAGAAAAGTTCGCTATGCGATGTGACAAAAGTTCTACTTATGTTACACAGTTGGTTTCGAAAGTTCACCACTCTTGTGGTCAAAGTGTGGGGTGGCACTCCCCAAAAATGCCGTACACTTTCGTCACACGCGGCGAAAGTACTATTTTTTATGTGACGAAAGTGCATCACCCGAAAAGACGATGTTTGGATGTGTAATATACAGCCTTTTAAAACACGTTTTTTAGTCGATTCTTTCTTTCCTTTCATATTACTGCATATCTCATTATCTTGCTTAGGCTTTCAGCCGCACAATATTAGTCAACCATATCATATGGTGAAAAGTGTACATTTTACACGTCAACATGTGATAGAAAGGTGACGCTAATTTAATAACAAGAATAGAAAAAACATTGTATTTTCCATTGTTCACGAAGTCGACTTTTTCCAGTGTACGCATCAATCGACTTCATGCCTAGTTAAAACAGAAAATATCATCAATCAAATAAGAGAATGTAGTCATTTTTGAAATTTACAATAATCTTTGTTACGTCCTTCGTTATAAACAGAGACTGCTAAATGGACCTAGAATTTTGTCTGAAAAAGGTTGTTAATGATTGTTGTTTACTCACTGATGAGAGCTCGATTAACGATATCTCGCACTTTCGAGAAACCTTGACTTGGCTGGTGAAACATTCAAAAGGCCGGAACTGCAGGATCATTTTATCTGATATTATCCCGAAAGGAAGCGGAGGTATCACAAACGACTTATACCAGCAAATAGCAGCTGAAATAAATAATCAAAACGTTCATCGTGTCATTGGTATTGGAAAAAAAATCAATCAAATAAAAAAATGGTTACTAAAAGTAGATGACGAAGAGACAGAGTTCTACAAAACCTCTGCAAACTTTCTAAAGTATAATAGTCGCTCTAAATTCTATAACGAATATATTCTTCTGAAAGGGGACGCCGCACATGGTTTTGACAATATTAAAAGTTGGTTTAATGAAGTTGTCCATGAGACAGTTATGGAGATCAACTTGTCGAGAGTTGTCTATAACCTGAAACAATATGAACGAAAATTAAATAAAGGTGTCAACATCATGGTCGTGATCAAAGCATTTGGATATGGCCTAGGTAGTACTGAAATGGCAAAACTATTTCAGGACCAAAATATCGATTATTTCTGCATTTGTTATACGGATGAAGGGGTCAAACTGCGAAAACAGAGTACAAGATTGCCCATTATGGTGCTGATGCCAGAAGAATACGGTTTTGAAAGACTCATCGAATATAACTTGGAACCATGTATACACAATTTCTCTATCTTGATTGCATTTATTCGTTTTCTTCACCATCATGAGTATAAGGAACGCTATCCAGTTCATCTCGCGTTTGATACTGGAATGCATCGACTTGGGTTTGAGCAAAATGATGTGAAACGTCTAGTGTCACTCATGAAGAAGAATGAAGCACACTTGTACGTCAAGTCTGTCTGGAGTCACCTTGCCTCTAGTGAAGATCCGGAGGAAGACAGCTTTACCGAACTTCAAGCAGCTCGTTTCGAAAAGTATTGTTCGGTAATCGAGGAAGAAATCGGCTATGATTTCATTAAACATTTGGCTAATTCAGCAGCTGTTCTTCGTCTCCCACATTTACAATACAATATGGTTCGACTTGGTATTGTTCTTTTTGGTCTTGATAATACGAAAGTATGTCAACACGAACTACAGGTCGTAGCACGTTTAAGAACAACCATTTCTCAGCTGAGACGAGTTGCAGCTTGCGATACCGTTGGCTACGGTAGAAAAGGCAAAGTTGAGTGTGATTCTCTTATTGGCGTAATTCGAATTGGCTATGCAGATGGCTTTGCCCGTCGCTTGTCGAACGGAGTTGGTTTTGTGTGGTGTAAAGGAGTAAGTTGTCCGGTCATTGGAGATGTGTGCATGGACATGGCAATGATAGATTTCACCCATGTAAACAACGTACAAGAAGGTGATGAGGTAGAAGTGTTTGGAGAAAATATTAAATTACAAGAAATAGCACAAGTATGTCGCACTATTCCACTTGAAATACTCATTAATTTTGGGCAGCGAATAAAACGAGTTTATACATTCTCTGACTCATGACGAACGTATTGTATAACCCGGTCACCGAATACGTCTTCAAAATAGTTGTGTTGCACTGGATATCTGCTTGAAAACACCCGAACTGAAGGCATTATTCAAAAAAATAAAGAAACAAGAGGGGTGTCAGAATATCAGTACGCAGTGTGTTCTCTTGGCTAGCTGAGGGTGAGGGGTATTCTCAATGAGAATACACCAAGCCCAGCAAGCACAGAGAATATACCACGTACTGATATTCTGATATCTCTGAAAAACAAAGATGAAAAAACTTTCCTTTGTTTCCTTTTTCCTTCGCGTTTCTGTTTAAGCACAGAAACGAAAGAAACAAAGATATACTATTTAGCATTTGAATGCTTATATAAATCTTTTATTCAAACTATTGTGATTTATTTTTCAACCTACTTCACAGCTTGTTCACACAGCTCTTTTTGTCTCAACTTGAAATTATTCCGCAATGCCACACACTATCGAATGTTCTTGAGAAGTCAAGGAATATAGTTCTTAAATTACCTTGTTCCTCAAGACCTTCATGAATATAGTGGATAAGCTTTAACAGTTGATCAACACATAGAACATAGAACAGTTGAGAGAACGAGAGCCAATGCTGATCCTTGAACAACTTATCCTTCGAAGTACTTCTCATAGCACCGATAACGGTGAAACAGATCTAATACTAAC